AACAAAGATCTACACCAGAAAAGCTTCCATTTAAAAACAAATTTTATTTTTGACTCTACCAATTTTATTGTGTAGAAACTTTTACAAAYCCAAACCCATCCATTTACAGCCTTGGTGGAAAATTACACATCTGAAAAATTTAGAAATCCCCAATAAAAGTTTTGCATCAGACAGACACACGTAAATTTGTTGATACCTTTTTATTAAAGGACATCAAATCCCTAATGCTAACGGAGATAACAGAAATTTGTCAAATTTAAAACAACACTTATTCCAATGAAGTTGGGAGGTTGTGTGAAACATAAATAAAAACAGATTATGATTATTTCTAAATCCTTTTCAACCTATATTCAAGCAAACATATCCCAAAGACAAGATGTTTAATGTTCAAATAAACTTTGATTTATGTTTTAATTCTCTAAATCTTTTGATGAAATTATGKATGTAGTGGAAACGTGAATATCTTCTCAACAAGAGACAGTCAAACTACTGTTCCTGTTATAACTCATCTGATCACCCTTAGGCCTTAGAACAAAGAATAGACTTCCTGTCGCCAGTTAATTTGTTTATCACCTCTTTCAGAATAAGACTGGAATAAACATTGTTTGACATCAAAGGACTCCCATCAGATATATCTGTGGGTCAGCAATGCCACCCTGTGGACATTGTGTCAATTAACCCTGAAAATATTTTATTTTTCACCCGTTTTCCGTTTATAACTATAAAAATCATCTGTGAAGTGTCAAAATAATACCTTGGTACTCTGATTTAATTACTGTAATAATCATGACATTGTTTAAGTAACTTGATCTGGTTTTGATTAACTATTACTCTGTTCTTCTGTTACATGTCCGGAATAGGTCACGTGGCCACCGCAGAAAGTCTTAACCAATGAGAAGTTCCGTTGTGAACAGGGAGTATTTTCATTGTTCTGTCATGTAGTGAGTTCTGAAGAAGTGTTTTGAGGAGAAAGCAGTAGTTTTTTAGCTCCAGCTTCCCCCATCCCGGGGCAAGGCCATTCTTTTCCAACTTTTTTAATTTTTATAGTTTAATCTTAAGGTGCTTTCAGGAAGGAGATTGAAAACAATGAGGCTGATTTAATTCAAGTTGGACGACTCTCAGTGAGCCCGCAAGGAAGCAGCCGCCACGGTGTGCTAGACATCTCCAGTGAATGCAGCCGGCAAACCAGATGACCAGGGAACTTCTACACAGCTAAGACTCGGCTGAACCTCACGTGCCAACCCAATTAGCATAGAAGTATCCATTCTGGCATCTACAACTTTGCCGGTAGGAAACATCTTGCTYAATTAATCTGATGGTGTGTTCCAAGTTTTAAATCAGATCAGAGTWYAATCAATGTTCATTCTTCTTCCCCTGAGCTCCCTCTATGTTAGTGGTAGGCTTAGGAATAGCGAGTAGTGTCCCACTGAAATATGTGTAGAAAGTCATTCACGTGGTAATCATGCCAGATTAATTACATCACTTCTTGATTAAGTTTACAGAACTGATTATAAGTGTGTTTTTGTCTGAGAAATGACTTGTAATGCATATATTTCCCTCTGAACCTCATTTTAAATAATACAYGGATGGATTTCCAAATGTGATTTGTCTTCGTCTGTATTTCCTTGTCTCACGCCATCATTAAACTGAAAGAATTAAACGTCTTCATATTTAGAGATTGAATATTAAGAAAGTTTTTCTGAAGTTTTACTAAAAATACTTTAGTGGTGCCTCGAGGARAAAGATAATTTGCGTGTTTAAATAATTCACAAATTATCCGTTTTAGAATTCTAGCGTTTAATACCCCTACATGGACTATAGGTGAGGAAATACCTAAAAGTCTTTCAATTGTACGTTGAGAAATGTTCTTAAACTGTTGGACTATTGGCACAATGTCCCAACTTCAGYGGAATGGGGGTTGAAAGAAAAATACTGCAAATCATTTAATTGAAATCAGTGGCTCAACATTCTTTAACATCCCTAAGTCACTCTGCATCCTTGGATCCTTACAAGTTCTTTCTCCAAACAGAAGATTCTTTATGTTAAAGCTTTTGCTAACATGAAGAAAAAGGTACAAACCTTCTCTCGCAATTTCCTCTCTTTGCGTTCCTGCAGTGTGGACAGGTAGTTCACTGCAGCGTACTCTATAACTGAGAGGAAAACAAAAACAAAACTGATCCACAGGTAAATATCCACAGCCTTGATGTAGGACACCCTGGGCATGGAAGCATTGACTCCGGTGATGATGGTCGACATGGTGAGCACCGTGGTGATACCTGAAACAAGAAGACAAGTTGAGAACAAATGAAGACYAAACATCAGGTGTCAACTGGAGTAATAAAAACTTTTCTCAGTAAATGCAGTTTTTTTTCCTTATTTGGTGGGAGTTTATTTAAAATAACAGATTCACCGTATGCCTCAGAYACCAGAGGCCAAACCCTGTAGTTTAAGACATAGAAACAGCTCCCCTTGTACTTTCAGGAATTAATCATTTCAGTGAGCCCCCCAGGATGGTTCCAGAACATGTTTTAAGTCCACCCCCCTACATGTGAACTAACCCCATCCAAACTGAAAACTAAAACTAGCCCAACACTGACTGCACAGTCTGTGCCTGTTTAATGTGGACGACTCTCAGCTACAAACACGTCAATGTTTAACTCAGTTCCAGTAAAAATCAACAGATTAGAGCGATTTTTGTGTTTGTAAGCTTGGTTTGCTGTGGCTATGGGGTGCCGTTTGTAAAGTTACACAGTCAAAAACTACCACCAATATTTTTGTTTTATTTAGCCTTTAATAAGAAAAAAAAGAACAGATTTATTTTTCCAAGTCAGTTTTTCACCATATGATTCWTACATTTAYAAATGTCATMGTTTATWAACTAAATGACACTCTGTCTACTTTTAAGATTAGACTGAAGACTTTCCTTTTTCATAAATCCTATAGTTAGATTTAGGTTTCCTGAATTATTCTTCATTTCTGCTGCTATAGACTTAGACTGCTGGAGCACAAACTGAGCACATTTCCTCACTCCACTGTTGTCTTTGTCTCTCGTCTAC